CGTCCCCGATCACATGGCTGAAACACGCTTTTACAATGTATAACTGTTATGTGTGCATTTTAAGTAGAAATCAGTGATGATTTCTATCACTAAAAGTATAAAACTAGGAATTGTTAGTGAACAAGGGAAATACAATTCTTAGTGAAAAGCTCTCAGGAATAGCACAATCCCGGGTTAGTTTCATTGTTTCTGACACCTGTTAAAGGATTCAGGGAAGAATTTATGTAGGGAAACGGTAAGGATAGAAGTGTTTCCTCTTCCAACTTTGTGCCAATTTTTCTGAACAGTGCTCATTGTTTGGTAGAGAGAAGGAAGAAAAATCCAAAGGCTAGAGGAGAAGGGGTCTTAGTTATTTGGTTCCACTTAGAATAAACCAAGCTATTGACAGATGACCGGACTGTCACTCCCCTGGATGCCAACGGTGTGACGTGAAGATGCTCTGGTTCAGTGATGTGTGTGTGTGTGAGTGTGAATGGAGTGCGCGTGCACATTCATACACAGACCCTCTGTCCTCATTCCGCATTGAGAAAAGATAAGATAGCTTAATTCAAGACCAGCCATAATGTAGATTTAACACACCTTTTTAGTCTTAGTTACCTTAACTTGCATTATGTTAGTTATGAAATTCAGGAGAGATGTGGATGAGGAACTTGCACGGGAGCGTGCTCGAGCTAACTTCTGAAGTAAGTCCTTCTGCTCCTCCCACCTACCTGGGGACAGGTCTGTCCGTCGCATCCCACAGCAGAGGGTGGTCTGACCCCAGGGCTCCCTGCTTGTGACTAAGCCTGCTTGCTGCTCACTGCCATCCAGGTAGGTGCCCCCGCCCAGGCTTTTCTCTTGGCTCAAAATAAGTGCTGGTCTGCTGGGCGCCGGTGGCTCACGCCTGTCATCCTAGCTACTCAGGAGGCTGAGATCTGAGGATCACAGTCCAAAGCCAACCAGGCAGGAAAGTCCATGAGACTTATCTCCAATAAACCACTCAGAAAACCGGAAGTGGTGCTGTGGCTCAAGTGGTAGAGTGCTCGCCTTGAGCTGAAGAGCCGTGGGACAGCGCCCAGGCCCAGAGTTCAAGACCCATGACTGACAAAAAAAAAATTAAAAAAACAATAGTACCAGTCCATCTTGCCTTCGCAGGATGCCATTTCCCACCCTTCAAAGTGCAGCCCCAACGGCCCCTTTCCAAACAACCGCACTCCGGGTCACTGTGAGCTCATGACCCTCAAGGGTCTCTCGTGAGGTGTGAAATTCTGGCAACCCCCAGCAGGCCCTCTCCTGGGAGCCGAACAGCAGAATGTGAGCTGCACCCGGCCTCCACCACACCTGCGCCTCACAAGCTCCCCGCATGGCCTGTGTACACAGTGGAGGTGGGGGCTTCTGTGTATAGCACCCCTCTATCCATCCATCCATCTATCCATCTATCTATCCATCTATCCATCCATCTATCTATCTATCTATCTATCTATCTATCCATCCATCTATCCATCTATCTGTTTGTCTGTCTGTCTATTGATCGAAATATCTATCTATTCTGTTTGTATATGTATATATATATATATATATATATATATATATATATATATATATTCTGTTTGTTACATATCTGTTCGTAATCTGTTCGTAGCCTCAAGTGGACTAGAAGCTTTCTGCGGACAGGAGTCTTGAACATTCCCTTCTTGGTATCCATAAACCCCAAAGAAGGTGACATAGGACAGCACTTACATTCAGAAATATGGACCCTTTCAAGGTCAAGATATCCTGAGTAAAATCAGTGTGTTGTCTTTCTTGCTTGTCAGTGGAATCAGGTGTAGCAATGATTTTCCTCCCTGCATTTCCACAGTCAGACTCGCTATGTTAAGGGCTACCACCAAGGCCCCTTGGCTGCAACCTTTATCCCGTGTCCTGGCTTTGGGCAAAACAGCTGCGCCTTCCAGCGGTGTATCTAACACTGTCAGAGCACAAATATAGATAGTACAGATGTAAAGAAAAATCAATACTGAGAAAATAGAAACACTGGAGGCTGATGATGACAATTTATTTCATCAGAGATAAATTTGGAGATTGGCGTATCTGCTAGCTGAATACTCAGTGTCTTCCAGGAACAGTGGAGTGGAGTTTTTTCTTGGATTCCCATCTCTGCTTCAGAGTGGATTGTGCTAATGACAAAGTGTCCGTCACTGCTGCTGTGACAGCACACACACTGAGTGGTGTTTGCCCCAAAGATGGGCAGTGGAAGCGCTGGTTTTCGGAAATGATCGGCGTGTGTTGTGTAGTTCTTTATTTAGACATGGGGTTTGCACGTGTTTGTGTCTCTGTGCTCTCTGCGAGCGTGACCGGTGGATGGAGATGGCGGAGCGAGGCGGTGGGCCATGCACCCGCCTCATGCTCCACGGCTCGTGCTCTGCGGCGTGGCTTCTGTCACTGTCACAGGAGACAGAACTGGAGTAGACACCTGAGGAGCCCAGAGGGCGAGCAGCCACAGGGTGGGGAGCGGGCTGTGGCTTTTACGGCCCCCCGGCAGGGGACAGGTGGATCTCTTGTGGAGTTCTAAATGCAGAACATTGTCAAAACAAATCTGCACGTTGATCCTGAGGCAATCCCTCCATTCGGGGGAGATGTTGCATGCTCTCTTTTTAGAATTCTTTCTTCCCCCCTTCCCTGCGTGAGCCTCGTGTGTGTGTGTGTGTGTGTGTGTGTGTGTGTGTGCATGTGTTGGTTTAGTAACAGGCTCCCTTCCCACCCCAGTCTTGGCTTCCCCGCTCCCTTCAGCAATGAATCCATGCTTCGGCGTGTCTGCAACACCATTGCTTCCGAATGAACTCGAGAGTGCAGACCACACCCCAGGCACAAGCAAGCCTCTGCTGATACCTTCAGGAACTTTGAGCAGCCATGTCCTGGGTCCCTGGGCGTTGCTACAGGAAGGTAGGAGGCAGGCACTGGGGTGCAGGTGGATGTGTTTGTGGAAACGAAGTGCTCTGTCCAGTTAGAGGCCAGGGCGATCTGATCGGCGTGGGGCTGCCGGGGTGCCGGGGACCTCGGCACGGCTCTATCGCCGCGGCTCTCCTCCGGGGTGGCGAGCTGGCATCGGCGTCAGGCGGCGAGAACTTGTAGGGAAACAGAGGCCAGCCAGGCAGCGCAGCCCGAGACCCTGAGCTCAGCACAGGAGCCGTGGGCCGCCTGGCACGGGTGATCGCGCGTCTGGAATTGCCAGGCTGTGGGGGAGGTGAGGCGTTGGGTGTTTCCCAGCGTCTTCAGGAAACAGTGGGCTTCCTGCAGCCCTGATTTATATTATGGAAGCACCCCGTCCACAGAGCTGCGAGCTTGGACGGCACTGGCAGCAGAAAGTGTTAATTGGCAATTACGAGCGCCACGCTCTTCACCGGCGTCTGCGCCGCCTCCTGTGGCAAAGGGCTTCTCATCGCCGTAGCGATGCATTCCGGCTCCAGTGGAACTTGGCCACACACTGTGCAGTAAATAGCAGGAGCTTGCTTGCTTTCTGTTTTTTCTTTTCTTTCCTGAACAAGAAATTCAAGTCTACAGGGTCGCACGGGACTCTCCCCAGTCTTGCCGGGCCGGGTCAGCGTCTTTCACCTCTCCTTCTGACATTCTCTATAAGTGAACACGAGACTTGGGGAAGGAAAGAGCCCCATGCGACTTCTCACTGTGAACTTTGAATAACAAGCTGTGGTCCTAGATTGTGCCTAGGACTGTGCACACAGCGGGGGGTGGGGTGGCGGTTCACCCCCCCCCCCCGCCTTCCCACTCTGCAGTAGTAACCTGGCAAGGTGGGCAGGGTCTCCCACCCTATTCGATCTTCCATTTGGGTTTTCTGGAATGACATCATCTAGTTGTCCAACTGGAGTAAGCGATAGCAACCGTGTTCCTACGCCAGTGAAGGCATTTTGCATTGATTGGGGCCTTTTCGGGACCATATGGCAATAAAGTAGAGGGAAGTAATCACATGTACACTTCATTGTCTGTCTTCTCAGCACATGGATGTGGCTACAAGTCCCTTTGGGCATTGTGACAAAATCACCTTACTGATTGACACGTCACTTTTTAGTTATGCTCCAGTCCTGTTTTAGTTGCTAGAATTATAGCCATCGGCCTTTAATAGGCCCGCGATTTATGATGCATCCAGTGTAGAACTTTGCATTTTGGAGACTGCAGACACATTAAATTGTACAGTCATGTGGGGCTTTCTGAGAAATGAAATGTCACCACTGTACCTGCTTCCGAAGGTAAAGCTACTTCCTGTTTCCAATGGCTAATTGGGTTTCAAAACCATGGAGCGCTTATTCCAAAGCCTCTCCCATGGTTTAAACCCGGTGTGGCTGGACTTGGGTATCCCGGGGGAGGATGAACTGCAACCCAAGAACAAGTCCACAGGGGCTTGAACTTGAGTTCTAAAAACTTTTATTATTTTTCCCACGTGACATTCTGGAATGGATGATGAGAGACACGCAGAGGCTTTCCTTGTCCGGGCCATGCCTGCCTCTCCTCCTCTCCACAGGGCCGTGAGTTAAGGTTCAGGGGTGCTGGGCGCTCTATCGCGAAGCACCACGCGAGCCCGCGGCGCAGCCTTGTCCTCTCTACCCGTGACCGACTCACCGACGCTGGGCTGTGTGTCACTGACCTCCTGCCCTGAGGGCTTAGCGCCCGGAAAATGCTTCATCAATGTACTTTTCCATACCTTTGCACCGGGCACGGCAAGCCTGCATCTTCAGATCCCAACTTCAGCGTTCCTGCTCAGGACGGGTGTGAAATTGTCCTGCAGGCTGCTTGATCAGGAATCAATACATGGAGCCTGCAGCCCTTCAAGGCTGAATCGGTAGGCATCCGATCTGAAGCAGAGCAAGGCTGTGTTCCTGATGAACGCCCCCCTCCCCGACCCCAGTGTAGAACTTACCCTCTGTGCTGCCCGCTGATCTGCCGCCGCACCCGCTGCTTCCTGGCTGACCTCCAGCAGGGAGCCTGGCTGGCAGCCGACCCTGGGAGATGCTATGCCAAGAAAAGGCCCCGTGCACTGCTACTCCTTCTGTGTCATTTTGAGTGACAGCGGTGGGTATGACCACGTGGCAGTGTGCGATCCAGGGAAAGAAATAAGTTTGGTGGCGCGCAGGGAGCAAAGGCCGGTGAGCCGCTGGCTGGAGGAAGGTCTAACGCGCCGTGTCTCACAGGTCTGCTCTGCGGACGGCGACGCCAAACCCCTGATCTTCACCTTCGTCCCCACGCTCAGAAGACTTCCGACCCACACTCGCTGCGTTGACACCTCCCAGTTCCTTGTCCGAATTCCCGGCGACCACAGCCCAGAAACTGTGAATCGGGTAGGTGGACTTTTATTCATTTCATGGCAAACAAGTATGTTAAACTAATTGTCCATGCCAATGACTTGAAAATTTGTACCAATGTGTATTTCCTCTGTGTAAAGCAAGATGGCTGTGAAATCTAACATTTGATTAAAATATCATACATGCAGCAGTGGCACTCAGTAGACATGATGTGGAAAGTGAACTATACAGCGTGTAGGCAGGGACAGGCAGGAAAAACCGGGAGGGAGCCAAGGAAGAGGTGACATTGTCCTGAAAGAAATAGACTATAACCTGACTTATAGAAGGGTAAACCTGGCACATCACCTCTATAGTAAGAATAATAATTATATATATATGTATGATTATCTAGCTATCCTCTATCTATCTATCTGATTTCGAGGGCTAGGAGTATATGTAGCTCAGTGGTAGAATTTGCCTTGCAGGCCCAATGCTGACATTCAGCCCCAGCACTGATACATATAGATATAGATATATTCAATCCCAGGTTCTCAGTAGTGTATTATTAATGCATTGTTATTAATTTATTAGGCATTATTAATGCATGCCTCCCAACTCTTCTATTGTTTGCATTCTCAGGACAAATTCTGCTTTCTGTCACCTTCCTCCAAATGTATTTTAGGACATTAACACTATAAGTATTTAAATTCATCTTGAAAGGAAATCTTAGATAAAGGGACCATGTGTTATTGTTTCTTTGCAATGAATTAGCAATGCTTACAAATATTATGCCTAAGCCAGACACCAGAGGCTCACATCTATAAATCTAGCGACTCAGGAGGCTGAGATCTGAGTTTCAAGGTTTAAAGCCATCTGGGTGGGAAAGTTTGTAGGACTTTTATCTCCAGTTATCCACCAAAAAGCCAGAAGTGCTATGGTTTAAGTGGCAGCGCACCAGCCTTGAGTGTAAAAGCTCAGGTACCCAGGCCCGGAGTTCAAGCCTCAGGACAGACAAAAGATAAAAACAAATACAAACTTCTGCCTAATGTTGGTGCGGTAGGAAATGTCCACTTGCTCGTATTTTGCTGCTAGGTAGATACTTTGGTAGAACTTGATGGAAAACGTTTATCCACAATCATAAAACTGTTTCTGACCTAGATTTTGGAAATGTGTCTCGGGTTATCATATTTAAATTTAGAGAAACATTTTTATCTTGAAGATGTATTTTAACATATTGTTTATTGTTATAAATCAAACACGGCTGGGGGACGCTGTGAAGTCCACTGGCAGGGGGTAAGACGGTGAGTCTGGCCCCGATTGGAAGCTGTCTGTCTAAATGGTAGTGATTTGCTTGCCACCCTGTTGTTTTCAACGCTGCTGTCTTGGCTCAAAGACTAAAAGGCCTGATTATTTCAGTGGAAGTAAAAGTTACGCAGAAAAGTAATTGAGGAAAAGAAACAGTGCCAACTACCTCACCACAAGCAGAGAAGAATGAAGAATGTTCTAGTATGCCATTCTGACAGTTTGTAGATGGGGTGGTGGGAGGGTTAACCTGACTTAACGGACCGTAAGTGTATACCACATGCATTTAGTAAGACCTATGCGTAGAAGGGACTGTAAACGCCAGAGCGGGGTTGAGACCAAGCCAGGAGCCAGGGGAGAAGAGCATCTGACCGAGGACGTCCCCCCTCCCTCCCACAGCCCGGCCCGGCCGCCGCCCTGAGCCCCGGCCCTGCGGTTCAGCGAGACTCAGCGCCCGGCCGCTGCGTGCCCAGCGCGGCCCTCGAAGCTCGGGGGATGCAGCTCGGCGACGTGTTCCAGGCCCGCTGCGTCCTCATTGTGGACTCCGAAGGGGAGGATGAGGCCCCCGACCCCGCGCTGCCCGGGCCTCTGCCCAGGGCCTCCTCTGATGTGGTCCGCCCCAAGGCCCCGGGGCCCCGGCCCAATGCCCCTGGCCCAACGCCCAAGCAGGTATGTCTGTCCGCCTTGGGGTTCTGGGCACGGGAGGGCCAGGACAGAAAAGACCGAGCCGTCCAGGGGAGAGGTGGGACAAAACAGATGGAGGGGGGTAGACAGGGCAGGCTCAGGGTGGACTGGGCAGGTGGGGGTGGACGGGGCAGGCTCAGGTGGAGAGCTCTTTGCTGCAGCGTTCTTGGGGTGTGCCGCCTTTGCTTTGGAGCAGCTCTGGGAAAGGTTGGGTGTCTGGCCGGGCACTCGGGCCAGGGGTGCAGGATGCACAACTCGGACAGAAGCAGTGTCCAGGAGGGCTGGGGAGGGACTGGAGAGGGAGGGCGTGTGAGGCAAGCGATCCTCGTGTGGCCAGCCCACCGGCGTCGGAGTGGGTTGGCCGGCCGTTCTCACGGCGGTCCTGCTAACCTCCACCTCCCAAGCAGCTGGGGTGATGGGCCTGGGCCACCGCGCACCTCCTTCCCCCAAAACAAGGGGAAGATGGGCCACGGACCGGCTGTTGGGCACACTTGGAATACAAGGTGACCCTGGCGTGTGTTTGAACACGGCGGTTAGGATGTGAAAGCTGGCCTTGACGCCTCCCCGCGGAGAATGAGCTGGTATGTTGCGTTCAGGGTCGGCCTGGCCGCCCCTCACAGGAGCCCTAACGCGGCTCGGAGGCTGGTTTTTCTTGGCACGTTGGTCTTTGTGTCCTGGTAGCAGGCTCCTCCATGGGACAGCGGCAGGTGGACCTCGGCCTCGTCTGGGCCTTCCCGCGGCTGTGTTTTGTTCCCCTCCGGTGTCTGGGCCTCTGGGACACTCTGCGGGGCACCTCCAGTGGAGGCCTACTGCTCTAAAACATTATTTCTTGCTAGTTGCCCCCCGCTGAGTACGAGAGTGAACTACGGGGCTGAAGGTGTGTCTCAAACGATAGCCAGCCCAGGCCCTGAGTTCAAATCACTGAACTGCCCAGAGGAAGCACAGGACAGAACAGAGCGTGGTGTTCTGAGCAGGCAGCCTTGCGTGTGAGCGTGCCCTGAGTGTGAGGGCTGGGAGGCCGTGTGGGAGGTGACACCGAATACAAAGGGAGCATTCCCAGTGGAGGCTTCTGGAGGCTTTAACCAACGCTTGCTTTCCCCCAGTTTGATAGATTTCTTTCCCTGGCCCTTTGTTTTGTTTTTGTGAGGTTAAATATACAAAGGTCGAGCTAAAGGCAAAATACGTAACTGGGAGCATTTCTTTCCCCTAAGAGGTAGTTGAGAAGTTGATGATGGCTCATGGCCGTTAGGTGCCAAATGAAAAGTCGCAGCTGTGCCCTGCTGCTTGATTCGGAGCCGAAAGCCACGCTCACCAGATCGTCGTTTCCTGTAAGGAACGAACGCAGCATTAGACAGCGAGTACCTGCGAGTGTAAACCAAAAGGAGCCCAGAACGGGGTCCCCGGGTACCACAGCAAGCTGTAGAGCAGAGGCTTAGGATTAAAAGCCTACAGCCACCCCATGATTGGGTCAGGACACCAGCACTGATTTTTTTTTCTCAGCTAGAAATGCAGTCTGTTGAGAGCGTTTCTTGTCTACCTGATAATAACGAATCGATGAGTCGCGTTACTCCTGAGTTGTGACTGGCAGTTAAGCTCGTTCCAAAAAAACATCTTGGTCTCTTCCTCTGACCTTTGCCCTCCGCGTGGATCAGGCGCTGGCGGCCGAGAACTCACGTGAGAACGCACTTTTCTTCCTGAGCCCGTGTCTGTCTGCCGGTCCAGGCTCGTCTCAGTCGGGCCCTCCCAGGCCCTCCCTGCTGCTCCTCTTCCCCCTCAGTGATTTGCCCGGCTCTCCCCGCACCCCGCTCTCTCCTACAGTCCCCACCATCCTTCCTTCTCATCTGGTTTTAGTGGCTGCTTGCCTGTCTTCCTCAGGAGACTGAGCAGCTCCGGGTCGAGGCCGCCTCTCGCTCACGTCCGCCTCTCTCGCACGCGGTGCGGTTCTTTGTACTAGGAGATGCAGCAAGGAATGTGGCAGAAGCCTCCTCGAGCTTCCCCTCTGCCTCGCTCTCGGAAGCCCTCGCTCGGGAGTTCCGCAGAGCTGCCGAGCTTCCTCTGGGAAGGCAAACGTCCCTTCCGGCTGCTCCAGCTAGCTCTTTACAAAGCTGCTTTAACATTTTTACCAATCAAAACTCTTTTATTGGCAAGAATCCGCTGTAAAGCAGGGCTTCGTTGTAAAACAGGCTTTTGTAGGTGTGGGCTGTTAGTAGGGCCTCATACGCTTGCTCACCAGACTGGCTCATGGCTGGCACTCTACCACTTGAGAGACACACAGCTAACCTGGCACTTTTCTAGCTCATTGGAGATGGAGTCAGACTGTTTTTCCCCTTGCACCATGACCCTCCAGATCTGAGCTTGCTGAGTAGCTACGATTGCAATGAGAGTCACCAGCGCCTGCCTGTGTGGGATGCTAATTTCATAACTGTGTGGGTACAGGTTTTTTTTGTTTTTGTTTTATTTTTGGTCTGTTGTGGGGCTTGAACTCTGGGCTTGGGCGCTGTTCCTGTGCTCTTCAGCTCAAGGTGAGCACTCTACTGCTTGAGCCACAGTGCCACTTCAGGTTTTCTAGTGGTTTTTATTGGAGAGAGTCTCAAGGAGTTTCCTGCTCAGGCTGGCTTTGAACCTCAATCCTCAGATCTCAGCCTCCTGAGTAGCTAGGATTACAGGCGTGAGCCACCAGTGCCCGGTTGTGGGTGCAGGTTTTATTTCCCCTCACAAGTTGTAGAATCTTTAAAGGTAAAGCTCATGACAGATTAATTTTTTATTGTTGTTCTGTGCATATTTAGTATGTCTTGAACAAAGTAATTTGGATATGTCATTTGAAATATACCAAGTATATTCTGTGTATATTTAGTATGTCTTGAACAAAGGTATATGGATAGGTCATTTGAAATATACCAAGTATCTTCTTTGAATGGCATGTTTAAGGAACAGTACATTTTGTTCAAACATCACTAATTTCAAAGTAAAATCAAAGTAAACCCACCAAGGCTAGAAGTGTCACTTAGTGACACTGCCTGGTATGAACAAGGTCTTGGATTTGACCACCACCACCACCAACAGCAACCACAAAGAACCAGAACTAAAGAAGTGTAAGAATGCTCCTTAAAATGGGGAAGAGGTGACATTGCCTGAGAGCCATTGTGCTCAGACCCTGACCTAGGGAACTGTAACCCCTTTGTCCAACTACATAATAACAGCAATAAAAACAAGATAAAATCAGCGGTTGGATCCAGAGCTTCTTGCGTAAGAGAGAGGGACTTAAACGCTCATGTAAAAGCCTCAGAACCGGCTCCCCTGCAGGTGACAATAGTGTTCACTGAGGGGTGAGCGTCCACACCTGTGCGCCAGCGCTTGGAGCGGAGGTAGAGGCAATGGAGCAGAGAAAACCCAGCGCCAGGTCCGTTTCCTGCACCTCCCTGTGGATGGCAGATAGATGGGGAAAACTCATCCTGAACAGGACTTTTGTCCCAGGAAATTGGATGACTGTGAGCACGAATGGCGTGATTTTCTTGGGAGGAGCAAGGAGGAGTGAGGTGTGGTGCTGCTTCCGCGGAACTGACATCAGCAGCTGCAGCTGAGAATCGGTCCCGGGGCAGCAGGGAAGGCCAGAGGTATTCACTGTAGAAGTTGAGATGGCGGAAGTAGACAGTCACCCGAGGAAAGAATGTGGGATAAGAGGATGGGCTTCAGGCCAGCAAATGGCAACGTAAAGACCTGGGAACGAGGAGAGAAGCTAGCAAAAAAAAAAATGGAGACGACACAAAGAACTGTACTAAAAGGTCACAGCAGCCCGCCTGAAGCCCCTACTGCTTGAAGGTGGGGCAGCAGCGTGGCCTGAGCCTGGCAGTTCAATGCCAGCCTGGGAGACACTGAGACCCCATTCAAAGAAACACATCTGACATGTACAGGAGTTTCAACGAAGTGGAGAGTGGCTGGCGATGAAAAACCAAGGTTAATGAAGGATGCCCGCCATTCCCATGTCTGGAGGGAAGAGGCATTGGACGGGGTATGGAGGAGAGGCGGAGGAAAGGCAGGCACAGGGTGCAGACAGAGCTCTTAACTTCCGAGCTCAGGGAAGTTAAGTTTGTGGAGGAGCTGACCAGCTGTGCCTTGTCCAGTCCTCCGGAGCATGCTGCACGGTGTGGAAGTCTTCCCTCTGCCTGGCAGGTGTAGCCAGCCTGCCCATGAACAAGGCTGGGTGAAGTTTCCCTCATAGTAGATCTAAGTGGACTGGATAGAGCAACACAATGGCAGTTGGATGAATTGGTAAAAGCGGGCTGGAAAGAGACAAAGGTGGGTAGAATGTTGAGGATGCGGGCAGCAAGGTGAAGGTTGAACCACATTCCTTTAGAATCTAGGGTGAAAACCAACAGGAGTCAGGAACACGACACTGAATAGCAAGAAATGCTCCAGTGCTTTGGGCCAATTTAGTACTCAGAAGTGTTGAGGGACCAGGCCTGGTGGCTCATGCTATAATCCTGGCTACACAGGAGGCTGAGATCTGAGGATTTCCACTGGAGGCCAGCCTGGGCAGGAAAGTCCATGAGACTCTTATCTCCAACTAACTATCAAAAGCTGGAAGTAGAGCTATATTCCAAGTGGTAGAGTACCAACCTTGAGCAAAAGTGTTCACAGCCAGCGCCCAGACCCTGAGTTCAAGCCCCAGGATTAGCATGTGCGTGCACACACACACACACACACACACACACACACACACACACAGTGTGATAAAAGTTGCAGTTATTTCTATTAGGGAATATACCACTTACTCGAGTAGAATATTTGGTAATTAAGATCCATAGATCTAAAGAAGTTGGAATGGATAGGCTTTGTCTTAAAAATATGAATTCACAGTTTTGCCATAGTGGCAACTGGGTAAACAAACAAGATGAATCGTTAAATACGATGAAGTTATTTGTCGAGAATATGATTCACAGGCAATGGGACTTTTGTAGCTATTGGTATTAATGTATGAAATTCTT